TGATTCAGCAGCTAGATTAGGTACCATTTCCTAGTATTCGTTAATAATGTTCGTAATCACCTCCACGCCAAGCACGTAATTTTCTTTTTAAGGGTACATGGGTAATTCATGCTTATTGATACTAAAACAACATGCCCAATATAATACCATGGGGAGGGTAGAGTGTACACCGACTTTACCATACTTTGTGGATGTAGAGAGTCTGTCTACAGTAGACATTTAGGCTAAAGTAATGCTAATTAACGCTCAATGATGCGGAGACAACATTAGTCCATCAAATGTACGTTTTCTTATAATCATTATATGATTGATTGGGCCTCAGGAGGTGGGGAAAAAAAAAAAGACAACAAACAGAAGAAATAAAAACAACCTCTCAAATCCATGTCTGGGGAATATAATCAGAAAGAGAAAAAAGGAAAAAATTCGAAAAAGATGCTACAGAATTGAGTCCATGTTTGTATTGAGCAAATTATGTACAGTGAAATGGATGATCCCAACTATCAAACTCGAAACAGAATTGAGTTCATGATTGTATGTAGCAGTCCGTTCTTTGTTTATCTGCAGTACTCCTCTTATTTGCATGTATGACAGCTGTTTTCTTTTTCCATTGTTGTGCATACCTTTATAATTTGTATGAACTTTTATTTTGCAAGTCCTCTCATACAGTACTCTGCCGATTTGCTTAAAGAGATGTTGATACTTCACTGTTGAATCAACGACGAGAGCTCCCAAAACGGTCACTGACTTGACGGGCATAAGAGACCACGCTTTTAGCCCATTTCTTGATTTCTTCCTTGAACTTCTTAGAATCCAGATGTTTCAACGACTTCATTCCAGGATCAATTGAGATTTCCATGAAGGAGAAGCAGCTGTTGAAGCGTCCACGCTTCACTACAGCTTCATCGCTCTTCATAATTTGCTTCCCTTGGCTGCATGAAGCAGCTGCTTCCATTGGAAAGGGATCCTTTTCCATCAACTGATTCCCAGAATGAAGATGTTTGTTTTTTAATTGAGGGTTGGTCTGTTTTATACCAAAGGGAAATGAAACCAGAGGTTTCCAAGCGTATGTAGCAAGGAACAGTTCTCTACAATAGACTTTTCAAAATATTCTGCAGGGGGGTTTGTGCTACTAGTCAATTGTGCAGTTCCGTTGAAGCGTGTTAAATTGGTGTTCATTATTCTCAAGTGGAAAGCCATAAATTACTAAGCTTCTTGTATTTTTTATTTTTTTTCTCTTCTTTCTTTCTACGAGGAATAGTTATTACCAACCTTGAATTGACGGAACTAATTAAACTCTATTAACTAATACCAAGTTCTCTGCACGTTTGGACTTTATTTGGTAGGAAACTTTCAACTTTCTTCCGATAACCTACCAATCAAGCGAGGAAAAAAGACATAAAACCAGAGGACCACTAACTCTGAGTTGTTCAGGAAGAGTAATTTTTAGCTTCAGCCAACGAGAATGCAAGAGAATCTGCGTTAATAGATTCAATAAATTCTAATTTCCTAATCTTACAGTTTCCTTGCAAAATGGAAGTCTGTATAAAAAAAATATTAATAGCACCAGTACATTTCTATTTGAAATATACCCCTAAGCAGCAAGGAAAACCAATATAAGTAAACGCCTGCAACTTTAGCAATTTTAAGCACATGTAAAAAATTAATATGATAAACAGATAAAGCTCCAATCTAAGACCACAAATTAATGTAGATAATCTTTTAAAGCTCTGATAAAGGATGTCATTTTTAAACTCAAAACTAGAGATATTGCCCTTGCCAATAGCTAATTCAGAAAGAAACAAATATAAAGTCAAAAACTTTGGTACTGGAGAAAAACCCATGATGCATTACAAGTCATACACTGTAGCATTTCCTAGCATGAACTCTTAAGCCTGTCTGTTCCTCTTCTTGGCACCTGACTTGGTGACCTTGAGACTCCTGTTCACAGCACTCAACCTTGCAAGGGCTGCCTTCTTAAGATCTGGCCTGTAGTAGTTGTCTCCAACCTGTACAGAGAAGTCGTTAAAGTACATTCATACAATAATGTGACAATACAGAAATTTATTTAGACAAAGACAGTATGCTTAATACCAACTAACATATTAGAAGTGACAATCAGCAATCTAATATTAAGAAAAGCATAGACACATCAAAATTTTCAAGCATCTCCAAAGAAAAAGAAGAAAGCCATATGGTCAGAACAATGGCAAATCAGTCAACATGATTCCTGTGAGATTTTACAAATAAAGTACTACCTCATTATTCCACATATGGATCATTAAAGTTGGTTTGGACTATAATCACTTCAATTAACCAAAATAGTAATTTTAGCACTATAAAAAGAATAATTTTCTTAGCTATCAACCAACCAACCACCACTTCAACAAAAGTTTATTATTATCAATTCAGAAGTGTAGACGCTCACAAATAAAGGACAAGGGCATATTCTTTTTGAGAATTGGTAAACATTGTATTCTTCCACATTAAGGATATGCTGGGGACCTTTAAAAAATCAGAAAAGAACAAAAAGCATAATACTTACAAGGATCCTAAGAGTTCTAAAAGTTGATCTGAATCCTCTGATCCCATCTCTTTACACCAAAAATATAGAGATACAATGCATATTCTAGAAATCAATTAAATTTTACACTTAAAGAGTACAAAACTTCGAAATCTCAATACATCTGTGTAATTAAGAATTGGTTACTTTAAAATGAGCAACTTTATTTTCGAGAAGGTATTTACTTGGAATGAGCAGGAAGGAAAATAACTCATCATCAACACTCAACCTTAATGACTTAATAACCAGGCATCCAAACAAATAATTGTTAAACAATTATTAGCAGATAAGCTACCCGATGACAAACATTGCCAAGATGCAAAGTCAGCATAATTTAGTTAAAGAAACAGTTGCACAGGAAATACTCCAGTAAATTAGTGAACAGAAGTGAATCAAAACTCAACCTGGTTTGTTACAGCCTTGGCCATTCTGCGGAATTCCTTCTTCATCACAGATTTGTTCAGCAAACTTGAAGGCTTGTTTTGCTTCTTGGTTTTCGATGTAGCAAGCAACACAGATTTATCTTTTCCCTCAGGCTGGATAGTCACCGTCTTCTTGTTTGCTAGGCCTAAAGAATCATAAAAGCATAAAATAGATTGACTTAACCGTAATTTAACCCATGCCAAATTAAAGTTTCTCAAACAACAAACCAACTCAGTAATCTACGCTAGGCAAAACTTCTACAATTCAATACATGACCTCACCAAACATAACAGAACTCGAGTTCAACAGAAAAATCGTATATATACACTTAAAAATCTCAAACGACATAATATCCTACATGAAAATTGCATGTTAAACTTTGCAATCGAATAGTAAACGTCTAATCACGTAAAGTAAAATAACAATTGCATGTACTCCACAAAAATTAAACCAAACAAACCTAATCACGATTAGCAAATAACAACACCAACTGATGATATCAATGGAAAAAAATCTCGATCCAAGGGTTCTAAGAGCAAAAGAGAAATGTCGATGGCATAGAGACTAACCAGAGTGCTTGTAGGAGTGAAGGTTGCAGAGATTGTTAGGTTCTTTGCTGAAGACGACGCCAGCGCTACCATTACCGAACTCCTTCACCAAAAAGGAGTTGTTCTTCTTCACGATCTCCCATACTAGTTGCCCTGGAACTGTTGTCATTGCAAATGATTCCTAGGGTTTGCTCCGACGGCGGGAAGAGGAGGATGCTGAGAGAGTAAGATTGCAAAAGTGTGCTACATTTTCTTATATATATGGGTATCCTAAAACCCTAGGAAAGGAATGTGGCGAATTGGGCCTATTAATTTACCGAATTGCCCATCTTTTTATTCACTTTCCTCTCACATGTATACGCTTAAGAACGAAAATATTTTAGCCTCAACATTATTATTATTTTCGAGATTCAAGGTATTACAAACTTTGATCAAAATATTTTATAATGTACTTCTTTATCATATTAACATGGGAAAAAAAGTATAGTTAATATCTTTTGTATAATTTTTAAATATTTAAATTTTAAAATATTAAACTGATCTAATTCAATTACGAAATAGTGAAGTGAAAATATGTCATCTCTTTTTTCTTCCTTCATGAGAAAAAACCACATTTTTTGCCCAACGTTTTATGCCTCATCAATGAACGCTTTCTTCGAATTAACAATCACTGGATGAAACCGTATTTTGTTTGTTTGGGCTTAATTTGCTAGTGGGATAAAAGTTGATCTTATACCCATCAATGATTTTGTTATCATGTATGCAAAAAGTACTTTAATGATCATTTTTTGTGAATGTAAGAGTGTTTTGAATCAGACGCTTGAATAAGCTTATGATTTTATGCATGTTTTTAACTAAATTCACGAGATACATGTACCTTTTATCAACACAACTATCGAGTAGCTTTAATCACTCAGACTTGAATAAAGAATTTATCATACTACGTGTAATGAAACTTTAAACGCCAAAGCCTTTGCTCCAACTTTTTTTTTTTTTACCAAGAGTGCCAATACACTACATTCCAACCATGACACATTTTCACTTTCTTTTTTTTTCAGAAACCTTCAGCAAATTAGTCATCAACCTGGTTCTCAATATCAGTACTCATTTCTTATTTGTAACTACGATGCAATAAACCATCATGCAGCTAGACATTCACGAACATTATCCCACGCATATAGTGACACAAGTAAATCTACTGACTCATAATTTTTGACAAGTTTCAGTTTGTTCAAAACTGAAATCCATTTTGCTGTAATATACACCAAAGATATCCCTTCTAAACGCAGATTCAGACTGACATAACAAGACCATCTTCACACCTAACAGAAGCGGCATTGCCTCCTTGAGATGAGAATGTGAAAATTCATCAGCTAGGATCTCATATGCTGAAACCTCCGGGCTTTTCATTTTCAAATCAAGCCTTTCAGCTGTCAACATCTCTAATACAGAAAAAAGGAAGGGGAAAATTGTAAAATGCACTGACTAGTCAGTGCAACCCGTACCATAAATATTTAAAAACTTCCAAGGAATCAATCCTCTAAAATCAAAGTTAGAAGAATTGAACCAATCCTAATATCAGAATACCATCTTTACACCTCAGCTAATGTTACATTATATACACCAACAAAGCAGCCGATCAGCAAAGTTTCTCAATGCCAGTGATCACACCCTGTTATTGTACAGAAATGATTCAACTCCGGAATCCAGACTGGGCTGCTACAAATCAGAATTCCTAAACAAATTCTCTCATAGTTCACTAACTCTGATCATTCTGATCAATGGAACATTATTCAACCAATGCTTGGTACAAGAGAACGGTGGGCAGGTCGTATTGAGTTATTTAATGCTTCACTTATCCTACTGAACACTATTTTCAAGGGGACACAAGCTACCGCAGGTCCTTTAACCTTCTCTACTACAGGTTTCTTCTCTCTATTTTGCTGGTGAGAACCGGTTAAAGAAGACAATTTTCTAATCTTCTTTGAAAGGAGGCCATTTTTCCGTGTCTTGGGTGACTTTGTTGGTGAACTACGAGGTTTCACCATGCGATGCTTAGTCGAAGTCCTGCCCGCAGAACTCGGCTTGGATTCATAAACAATATCCGCACTATGCAAAACTGAGCTGTTCTCACCATGATCCTCATCTAAGTCATAGCTGCTACTATAGTACTCGGATCCACTGACTAGCAGATTATCACAAAAGCCATCATCCAAGACTTCAACTGTGAGGGGGTGACCTATGATAGGCTGACCATTCAATTTGCTCATTAAGGAGATATATGGAACATGCTGTGGACGATAGCTGGCTTTGACCTCAAGATTAACATCATACAATGAAGAATCAGCAATGTGGTGCCTAAGAGAGAAATCTGATGACTCATATTTGGGGTTAACTGTAAATCTAGACTGACGATAGGGTAGCAACCTCTGTGGAGTAAGCAGGTCTGCAGTTGGCCCCTTCATTTGAGCTTCTCTAAGAGAAACATTCCTGCTCCAACCTCGCAACTCATCCACTTGAATTTCCGTAACTGGTCTTGACTTCGAACGATAGTTGTCTACTTTCCGACCTGGAAAAAGAGGGAATGAATCATGATCTATAGCAGCTAAATATACATTTAGTTCATCTTTCAAAGCTCTGCATTGTCCAGAATCTTTCTTTTTAATCTTACATGTGTGCCTCAAATTCCTCTTTCCTTTCAACTGCCATTTTGAAGTTCCTTTCACCATCCCCTGGCTGAAACAATGAAAATCTTCACTACCAGAACTAGTGGAGCCAGAGTCATTAAGCTCCTCACTTCCAAACGACATAGCTTCAACTTGGCTGCTCTGGCTAGACTGTGCCCCTACACCACCTTGAGCTTTCTGAGATACTATAGGAGACAAGCCTGTTTGGAGAAATAAAAGATATAAGCATAAATCAGACAAAAGAACTGCAACCATGTGAAATTCAGAAATATAAAATCAGAAGAGGACCGATAAACAGGAAAAGAGAAGCTTTTTTAATAAAATTGCTTCAGAAATCATTGGCAAAAGAACTATTAGAAACTCATAGCATAGATAAGAAAAGAAATTGAAGACAATCATGTAGAAAGGGAAGTGCAATGACAAGTTCACACACTGAAAACGTTCTACACAAATTCACAGAACATCTTTTTTTTAACAGTTCCACAGAAAATAAGCTCTTAATTGAAACAATCAGAGTTAAGAAGTTTGTTTTTTTTTAAAATGGTAACGATGCAGAGTTAAGAAGTTTTTCTAGAGTGAAAGCTAAGAAGTTCAAGATGGGCAGATGGCTAGTATTTAAGGTTAGTGCATAAAAATGACAGTGTCATTCATGTGGAACCATGAGATTAAAATGGGTGCCTCTACTAATTAATCTGCCAAACTCAGCCACAAACCCCAACATCGAGTAGAGAAGAAAAATTGAAGTATGAAGAGTGACCCACTCTAGTCTCTAATTAATACTTCCATAATGCAAAACTAATTGCAAACTTAAGAGGAAAGATTCACCAAAACTACCACTTCATATTAGTTTAACTAAGTTGTGTCTGATGCCTAAGACCAATATGTGAGGGCTTCCATGAGACATAGAACACATTAGTTTAGGTCCTCCATAACTGAAGGGAAAGGAAATCCTGTTGCATATATGCTCTTCTACACCATATTATGCAGAGATTATCCACCAGAAGATTCCAAGGAAAATTTATCTATGTGGATCTCCGACTAACAGATCAACGAAAAAGGTCTCCAAGGCCAGCTTTTGTTACCATTTTCAGTGCCTGCACTAGTGGCACATGTGCAACAAGAACTACAAAGACAACATTTATTGTGATTGCTCCAGATCATTGGGGTCTTCTTACAGTGCAGTATAGTCAGCAAAAAGCGCAGAGAAGTTCCAACGTCTGATGGGGCTTTTAGCCCAAAGGGAATTAAAGTGTGGGGCTGTGAGCTAAAATGGAGAAAGGTACTAGTGAAGAATATGTGTGTGTGTGTAATAATGCAAGGAAAAATAACTACAAACATAAACAATAATATTTGGATAAAAGATCAGAAACAATTATAACTGCAAATAATTTGTCAAAAAAATTATAACTAGCAAATAAGATGATGTTAAAAACATGACATTCAAGTTAAAAAATTATTTAAAATATCTGATATAGATGAAATCATGAAAAGGTATAATTTTGCTTTTCTTGAGAAAGTTTTCTTATACTAAACTCATCATTCTTTATTCCTAATCACTAAAATTTACTCATAATGTTTTTTAACAATTGATGTAATCAGTTGTCAAATATATTTATATTTAGTACTGTTCACTCAAAGATAGACCCGTTGGTGATGAGGTGCATGCCTTAAATCCTTAGCACCTACACTAAAGCACCATCTAAGTGAGGTCAAACACACAACCTGGCTTTAACGAGTGCTTAAACGCACCTCAAATGAGCTTTAATAACACTGCTACTACTATGTAGATTATACACCATGAATGCAAAGAAATCTCTGCTAATGCACATAAATACCTGCAGATTGCTTCTCTTCTGCAACTAAGGGCACATCAAACAACCTGTCAGAAGAACCACTCTCAGGCAACCCCGAAATACTGGAAATTCCATTCTCTTTCTGTTCATGCTTAACAAGGGAAGAATCACGAGGGTGGCCAAATGCATCCAATGGCTTCCCATTCTCTGAGATAATATCTGTGTCATTATTTAGTACTGTAGGAAAAAAATTCCCAGACTCGTTAGATTGTAACGCAAAAACTTTGCTTTCAGATACCCCTGCAAGAGTAGAGCCAGTTGGACTGGGAAGTTGTTCACACGTGATAGGAACAGACACCATTGCTGTACTCTCCAAAACCTTTGTCAAGGGACGGCGACGGTTCTTCTTCTTTAAGAAATCATGAACATGTGCCACCTGAGATCGCTTCCTTTTCAGAGATGACACGACACCCATTCCCAGGTCATCAAGTCCTTTCATGCGTTTACTTCCCTCGGTTCCATCATCCTCTGAGTCGTTTGGTGTTCTCCTCCGTGTCCCACACACAGGTTGCTCCTCAGACGCAATTGTAAGATTTGGTGCCTCAAATGATACACCAGATTGAGACAATTCTTGAGCAGAATTGGAATTATTTTCGGAACTATTCAGTTCCTCATCTAACTCTTTACCATCTTCAAGAGGATTAGAAGAAGTATGTGATTCTTCCATGGTATGATGCTCTCCACCTTCTTTATCTATTCTTGAGAAAAAATCTGGATGGTCTTTCCCGAGACGAGCACTTTCAATCTCTAGAGCATGAATAATGGCATCCTCTCTTCGAGCATATTTGACAGCCTTTTTTGAGGAGTTAGAAGCAGCAGCCTTAGCTTTCTCAATACATTCATCATATTCCCCACAACGGAAGGCTTTCACCCGCTTAGATTTTTCAAGATTGTACCAGTCCCTGAAACAGCAGCAACTATTAGACACTTCATCAAGTGTCAAGCTTAAAGGAAAAGGAAAATGTTCACTTCAACAATTGGTACTCTTTAAAATGGGAAGAGCAAGGAAAATACAAGTCTGTTGACAAATACTGGGTTAGACAAAGTAAAAGACATAGGATTGTGAAAACGGAACACCACAAGTCCGAATTGTGGAAGCATTAGCAGGCTAAATGATAGCAAGGAAACTGATCTCTCCTTTTTATTTGTTTTGCAGGCCAAAAGATTAGTAAGAAAGTAATGTCTCCATAACTGGGAGAAGCTGGTGCAATTACAGAAAAAGTACAAGATGCTTTTAGTACCCTACAAGAACTTTGAGCCACTTGAACTGGCATTAATTTGCCAAGAACATGTAAAACTGGATTCACAATGGAATAGATTAAAAAGGGGCTCCAAATGACTTCTATCCTTGATGCCACTGGGCAAGAACCACAGTTAGGAACATAGTAACCTTAGCTAGCTTGATAAATCAACTTTTATCAATAGAAGGAAGATTTCCCATGTTGCCAAAACAAAATCCTGCAAGTCACATATATGACAATATGCTTACAACACTAGAAAAAGTAAAAAACAGCATTGTTACTCGACAAATGCCAATAAACACCTAAAAATGTGATCTCACTGCCTACATTAAACTTTCAAAGCCAGAAATTGCTGTACATACTGCATAAATGGCACAAGCAGTATAGAACATTTCACGACAAAGAAAGCACCATAAAAGCTTAATTGAGATACTAAAACTGTAAGTAATCGAAGCAGGCAGACGGAATAGATTGCATTGCTGCCCCATTCCTCAAGACAAATCATATAATCCTAGAATGTGTGTGTATATATGGAACCCAGGATTTGAGGATAAGAACTCCAGTTTTATAAAAGTCTAAACTCCCCCCCCCCCGCCCCCTCCATAAGAATAGATGAAGAGTTAATACTTTAACACTACAAGTTAATTCTGCAGGTTTTTCATATTTTAATTGTCAGAAGTAAGCTACCACAGTTTATTGTTTCACAACATGGCCATGAGCGTCATTTGCTTAGTTCTGCTATAGGTGGAAAGTGAATTGACACACACTACGTCTAAAAGCCTAAAACTATAATGACTTGTGAGTACGGGAATCTTAGCAGCCACAAAAGATTGAACCACACACTCAGTGAACTCCGTTCCTTCACTTGACTCTACAAAACGAATTTTACTTTCATTTTGTCTAGTTGCTGCTTCTAAGTTAATTTATCAAATCCTATCCAAATTCTAAGCATACAAAACATCGACTAACTGCACAGAAGAATCTATCTCTTTTTCATCCATATTTGACAAGTTTAGGAGTGGGAACTATAATTTGGATTAAAGCAAAAACTAGAGGAAAAAGGACCATGGTTTAACCCTTGAGAGAAAACCATTAGAAGGAGAACTAATTTATAAATATGTCCACGCCTCCAGAAACCACCAAAGAAAGTGCCAAACAAATTACTTAAATTCTCATACTTAAAGGGCTGCCGTTATTTACAAAAAACAATAAATAAATACAAAAAGGCAAAGTAGCTCAGGGATGATAGTACAAACAGAAGGAAACCCACAACAGTGAAAGAAAACAGAAACTTACACACTTGCATCCTCTCTTCCAAGTAGCTTAACGGGAGTCCCTAATCTTGGTGAAACAGAGCAACTCTGAGGTAACTCATCTGAGCCCAAAATCCGACCAGGCCACCACGACCCATTTCGCCTACGGACCCACACCAGCCCCCCAACCGACGCATCAATAGCTTTGACAACAGACTCACCAGAACTCCCCATCTCCTTCAAAGCCACCCGAGATTACCGGGTTACAAAACAACGGAAAAAATCCCCAAAATTCAGTCAATCCACAGCATTCCTAAGCATGCCCAAAGCCCCACAAAAATCACCTCTTTACCTATCATCAAAAAAATGCACATAACCCTTTAAACCACATAACACAGAAAAAAAAAAAAAAAATCAATCAACAGAATTTTTTTCAGAAAGAATTGAACTCTCACATGCAACACAAAAACCCAGGTATCTAAAACATTAAAACACCACCGCAAAAAAAACAAATGAATGAGTCAAAAAAGAACAGAACAAAATCGATTGAAGGGTTTATGCCAGAGATAGATAGATCTAGCTGGAAAAAAATCTTCGGTTATGAATATAACTCTCACCTTATTTTTTATAAAAAAAAAAAAACCCACCTCCATTTTTTCTTCTTATTTCACTCTGGTCCACATTTAGATTTTAGTTTCAGAGAAAAACATACATACATATATACAAGAACTAAACAGAGAGAGTGAAGTGGCCGCCGCATAGAAGGAGAAACTTGTTGAACAAATGAAGTAGAAAAGAGTGGCTTCTCTCTGTACGAACAAATAAAAATGGATCGAACGTACCCTTTTTTAGTATCTTTTTTATTTTCTCTTTCGAGACAGAGAAGAGAGAGAGAGAACCGTCTTCGCTCGCACGCTCACACAGAGGGAGAGGGAGAGAGAGGGGGCTTTTTTTTTCTTCTTTAAAATAAAATAATATATTATACTATTTATTTATTTTTGGAAAATAAGTGTAGTGATTCAGCACGACAGGTAGTACAATAAGATATCTACACCTCTATTTTGTGTACTTGTTAGTGGGGCCTTTCCTTTGAATCTGTGATCAAAGAAAACGTGTCCCTCTATTTTGTCATAATTGCAATAACTTGTCACGTGAAATAAGTAAATTGTTAACTTTAACCCTCAACTAAAACATTGATTAATTGGTTGACCTCTAAATTTTGAAGCATTAATTTTCTCACTAGGGATGGCTATTGTGGGCAAAACCTACCTAAAATTGTGGAAATTTTAACCCTAGAACCTCAAATAATGCCAAAACCTGAGTAATATTTTAAGATGGTCACTTGTGTTTAGAAATTTGTTTTATAATTTTTTTAATTTTTTTTTTTAGGATCACAATATCACATTACTATTTTAATTTTTCTTAAAATATATTTCTCTCTTTTAATAAGATGTTATGTCACATTATTCTTTTCTTTAACACGAGTAATTATTTTTCTCAAAATATAAAAGTAATTATTTAATTAAGTCAAACATGGATGACTATCTAAAGAATTTACTCTTGAAACTAAAATGACTTATCTATTTTCAGAATTTTATATCTTGCTTCATTTTGAAAGATTTATTTCTAATATATTTATCTTAATTAAAAAAATATCCTAATAATGATTGAAAATGAGGTAACACTTTGAGGTCTTTCTATTACATTTCTATTTAAAATAAATGTCCCTTAAGTAAAATCTTATAAGAATAAGGGATAAGAGTCTGAAAAATACCTCAACTTTGGTCGAATTTGTTGTTGCGATACTAAACTTTCATGAGGACCTATTACCTCCCTAGACTATTTAATATCGTATTTTAAACATATATATTTGCCCACGTGGACATAAAAAAAATGCAAAATTATAGAAAGTAATGTGTCCACGTGGGCACATATATACCATTTTAAAAATACACTATTAAATAGTTTAGGGGGTAAAAAAATACGGTATTAAATAGTCTAGGGAGATAATAGGTCCTCATGAAAGTTTAGTATCGTAACAGCAAATCCGACCAAAGTTGGTATTTTTCAAACCCTTATCCCTAAGAATAATGATTTAAGATTTGATTTTTGTTAGTTTTCAACTTGTATGATGGATTATGAAGCTAATAATTATAAAAGAAAAGTTGTTGAGCCTATAAATATTTGTAAGTCATTTTGCATCGTGTCAATAAAATTTTAAAAGAAAAGATGAAATTACTTTCTCATTTTAAAGCCGTAAGCTATTTTATCGAAGACCATATTTTACATATTATTATGTTCATAAATTTGGACTATTAGTACATACTTTAAAAAGAGAGATGAAGTTACTCCCATTGCAAACCATCAACCAGTTTAAGAATTTAAATAATTAACATTTTTTTTCTTGAAGTAAGAAGAAATAGAGTTTGTACTACTCTCTTAGTTTGAACTTATTTGTCAAATTTTTACTTGACAAATCTATTAAAAAAAATAAAATTAATATAGGTAGTTTATCATTTTACCTCTATTAATTGATAGGTTCCAAACATATTTACTTATTACATTTTTAAAGACATTAACTCAATATAAATAAAAAATTGAGGATATAAGAAGAAAAATGTACTTTCTTCATTTGTCAAAAATAACAAATAAAAATATAAATCAAATTAGAAAATATTTAATAAGTAAAAGTGATGAGAGAGAGCATTATTACTACTATTGTATAAATTTGAAAGATAATTGAAGATAAAAAGAAATTGATCTAATTTTGGTGAGATGCTATATAAGAGAGAAAAGACCCACATAGTCTCTTATTTAGAGATGGTAATGGAGTGGGGCGGGGCGGTTGCGGGGCAAACACATAAACCCGCTAAAATTATAATCCGCCCTGCCCCTCCCCGCATAGCATTATTTATTGGTTTTAACCCACTCCGCCCGTCCTGCATAAATCCGTTTTACCCCGCCCCACACTTCATAATTTATATAAAAGTTTCAAATATTAGATGCAATAAGTGTTTAACCAAAAAATTTAAATTATTTTAATTGCTTAATATTTTTTTAACCTCAAAAATAAATAAGTTAATACTGTTCCAAACAGTCAGTAATTTTTATTGTTGATAATTTTGAATCGATTACATATGACGTAATAAACAAATTGTTGAATGTAGTAAAAAGAAACAAAATATGTCAACAAGTTTTTTTTTCCTTTCTAATTTATTGGTCAGTAAAAACATTTTTTTCATCTGGAAGGAGAAAAAAAAACACTAAACAGTGACCAAACAGATCAAAAACTGATGCAAAAGATAGATTAGCAAATTTAAAAGACTTTTATCTCAAATCCGCGCCCCGCCCCGCCATAATTTTGAAAATATAAGTTTTAAACTTGCCCCGCCCCAAACCCGCAAAAGCTATAACCCGCCCTATCTGCGAACGATGAAACTCGCCCTGCCCTACTCCCGTCCTCCCCATTGCCATCTCTACTCTTATTATTGGGTTAAGATTCAAAGTCATTCTTGACTTTTTACACAAAAAGCACTAATAGTCCCTCGTATTTGCAATATTTATGCACTTTTGGTCCTTCCTCAAATTTTTATCTATTTTTTAACATTTATTTTGTCCATAATTTATGTATGAGATGTCTAATCGTCTTTTTATATATCTAATAGAAATAATAATTCCATGTGAGATAAGGTGAGAAGAAAAATATCTTATTTTGTTTAGTAGAAATTTTATTGCACCTAAAATCTTGCTGATTTCAGGTGCAATAGTACAAATATTTATTTTATTTCAGCATCATATGTCAAAGTGCTCTTAGTTTAGCTGCAATAATATTTCTATTGAACATAACAATGCGTTCTTAGTTTAGCTGCAAGCCTGCATTAATATTTCTATTGAACAGAACAAAGTGTTCTTCTTCCAACTTTCTTTACGTAGAGTTATTATCTCTACTAAATATATAAAAAGCCGATTGAACATTCCATACATAAAATTATGAAGAAAATCAACGTTAAAAATAGTCAAAAATTTGGGGGAGAACTAAAAGTGCACAAATATTACAAACACGAAGGACTATTAATGCTCCAGACAAAAACTCAAGGATGACTTGAGTCTTAACCCATAGATAAGAGATTATGTTGGGCTTTTCCTCTGCTATATATAACGTTGCAAACCTTATGAACTAAAATGTCACGGAAAGAAACCACAAGGAGTCTTTGATAATTGTAAAGAGTTTGACTTTAAGTGTGTTTGAGATCAACGGCTCTGATTTCTCACCATCACTGTGAATTCAGTATGGTTCCTCTACCCTAGATTCATGCGAGTGAAACTCTAATACGACGTCGTAACATTCTCCATTGCTTCTCTTGTGATAGAGCTCTTTAGGTTTTTTTTTCCTACAGCTCTCTCGAGTCTGTCTCTGTCTCTGTCTGCTATTTGAGTGATCGCAAAGCAAGAGCAAGTGAGAAATTCATCAAAGAGCAATCATGACAGGTATTTTCCTTAAAAGATTTGATTTTTCGCACAAATTTGAGCTTATTTGACCTATTTTTCTTGATTTTTCATTCGATGTTTGAGCTGTTGATTTATAGGTGGAGGATTTTTAGTATATGAGCTATGTAATCGGACGGAATCCAGAAGTCACCTAATTGAACCATTTTCATATATATATAAAGTAACAAAATTTAACTTTAATACTTAAGCTACATATTTGAATTTGTGACAAATCCTGAGAATATGTGCTAGGCATATGGTATACAGGATTTGAATATATTGGTGTGTGTAGAGTTGAATTCATTGATGGCAATCACTATATCTGTCTTATTAGAACTTTGGACTAGACTATGTGCAGGAACAAGAGATGGAAATCGAAGCATTGGAAGCCATTCTTATGGATGAATTCAAAGGTTCACAACCATCCTTTATAAGTTGTAGTTTTTTTTTTTGCTCTGTTGTTGTCTAATCTTATTGGATAACTTTATTGTGGTGGTTCTGTTAGAAATTCACTCCAGTGAAAGTGGGCTAAATACTTCAAATCGATGCTTCCAAATTACTATTTCTCCTCAGGTATGTAGAAATTTTGGTATCATTTACTACTTGGCTGCTCAAAATTGATGATTAACCAACATAGTAGTGCCTAGGGCCGGAATTATTCATAAGTAGTTGAGCTTCTATTTGGCCTTATCTATTGTTGTGCTAGCGAAAAGGATTGTTGCATCTTATTGGTTCTTTCACCAGTGGTATTTATGCTGTTTTGATTACTATTAATCTATTATCATACTTCTTACAACTTTGCTTTTTGTACAGGAGGAGGACGAAGAATTTACACAATCATCAGGTTTTGCTATTTTCACAGTTATTTTCTCTGCAGCTCTCTTCTTTACTTATGTTTCATCGAGTAATGAACTCCCGCTAACAATGATTGGTCCCAAATTGTTGGTGCAGTTCGACTGGCTTTAATATTCTCTCACACAGAAAAATATCCGGATGAACCTCCACTTTTGAATGTCTCAAGGTAAATTAACCCTGCACTAGGATATGCCATCCCAGGACCTGTAGTATTTTCTTTATTCGCATACATTGTTCTTCAATGCTACATTACAAAGAGAATTGTCCTTAAATTCTTTTGTTGCTTGTAATTGGAATTGGACTTTTACCTTTTACCCATGGTTCAACATATCGTAAATGGCATGTTCTTTATGTAGTTTCTTGCAAAGATGACAAGCTATAGGAGAGACTAAATAAATAACAAACTCAAATTTTAATGTGGTCCAGCAAGCTTTAATCCATTAAGTGAGTGATCCATCATTGTGTTCTTAAAACGGCTTACTTCGCTAATATTCTTAACCGCAGATGTTAGTAGAACTCATTTTATGTCAGCATAACAGGAGGTGCCTAGTAGCTATGTTTTGCTTTACTATTATGATGTGATATAAGCAACTTTG